GGGTGCCCCCCACCTACCCTGGGGTGCCCCCATCTGCCCTAGGGTGCTCCTCTGACAGCCCTAGCGTGCCTCTGTGCCTCGCCACCCTGCTCTCCAGCAACTCCCTAGTGCCAGGGGGCTGCAATCACCATGCCTGCAACGCTGGACCCTGCCGGGGTGAAGCCCCCAGTCCACGAGCAGATCTCAGAGCTGCAGAATAAGATACAGCTCCTAGGTACGTAGCTGTTCCGCAGCAGCTTGCACGCACTGAGGGGTGAGGGTGGGGGTGTTTGTCCTGGGGGTGAGCAGGAGAGCAGGGCAGGGGTCAGCATTCAGAAGGGGGCGAGGTCCCCACGTGTGACTCTCCATCTGCATCAGTGCTTCCTTCTCAACTGAAGCTGCCCCCAGCGTGCTGTTAACCCAGCGTGGGGTGGAGGGGGTTAAATTCTTCCCTCCAGCAACAGCTTTCTACACAGCAAAATCCAGCCCCAGGGGATGTTGAGGAAGAATAATCCCTACCTCTTATATAGCGCGTCTCATCCGTAGACCTCAAAGTGATTTACCAAGGTGGCCAGTACCATTATCCCCATTTTACAGAAGGGGAAACTGAGACACAGAGCAGGGAAATGGTTTGTGCGAGGTTGCCCAGCAGGCCAGTCGTAGAGCCAGGAATAGAACCCAGGTATCCTGAGTGTCCCAGTCCAATGCTCCATCCCCTAGGACTAGGTAGGGGCGGTGAGGAGAGCAGAGGTGCTTTACCCACACAACATTTAGACTCTGGAACTCTCTGCCACTGGATGGCGCAGAGGTGGAGAACGGCAGCATTGGAAGAAGGATGGGGTATGGATAGGGCCCTACCAAATTCACGGTCCATTTTGGTCAATTTCAGTCGTAGGATTTTAAAAATAGTAAATGTCATGATTTCAGGGATTTAAATCTGAAATTTCACGGTGGTGTACAGCAATTGTAGGGGTCCTGACCCAAAAAGGAGTTCTGGGGTTATATATATATAACCGCAAGGTTATTATAGGGGGGATGCAGTACTGCTACCCTTACTTCTGCGCTGCTGCTGGTGGGGTGCTGCCTTCAGAGCTGGGCTCCCAGCCAACAGCTGCTGCTCTCCGGCTGCCCAGCTCTGAAGGCAAACCTTGGGACCCCCCCCCAACTCCCTTTTGGGGCAGGACCCCCAGTTTGAGAAACGCTGGTCTCCCCCATGAAATCCCTATAGTATAGGGTAAAAGCACACAAAAGACCAGTTTTCACGGTCCGTGATGCATTTTTCATGGCCGCGAATTTGGTAGGGCCCTAGCTATGGATAACCAGATCCAGAGTTCGAACAGTTTGTGCTATCAGAGAGTATCGGAAGGGCTAAAACCCAATGCTTCAGCCAGTCTTGAGCTATTCGAGACCAGATGGGACCTCTGGGGGGGGGCACACACACTAGCCCCCATCTGGTATTGCAGAGGGTTTCTTGCAGCTTCCTGCTCTCAGAGCCAGGGTGGTGGGCTAGATGGGCCTTGTATTTCCTGTGGACGTACCCCAGGCCTCAGAGCATTCAGAGGGGCCTTCCTATTGGGTTGCCTTGTTCTGCAATTGAGCTAGAGAATCTGGCTGCTAGTGCCCCCTCAGGAGCCGGGTTCTTTGCTGGCACGGAGGGGAGAGCACCTCAGAGGTGTCTCATCCAAGTCCTGGCCCTTGCTTAGCTTGGGAGAGCCACGGGGCTGACAGGCAGGGGCCCAGCTGCCTGTACTTGTTGGTAACTCCCCGCTGGGGGCTGTTTTGCACCCTCGGTAGAGGGCGACCGGAAAGCTTTCTACGAGAGCTCCCAGTGGACCATCAAGAAGAACAGGGAGTCCATCCAGTGGCTGCGGCAGGAGAACAAAAACCTGCACAAGAAGCTGGCGGCCATCCTGGCGGTGAGCAGCCCCCCGGGGGTGGCAGGGCGCTCAGAGCCTGCGGCCCGACCGTGCGGGGCCCTGCTCCCTTCAGGGTGTGCTTTGATTGCCCCGGAGCTGGAGAGCAGCAGCCCCCCACTCAGAGACTTCTTTCAGCTCTTGATGTGGTCCAGGGTTGAGGGATTTGTGTGGGGTTGGGTGGGAGGTGTATGGGGCTGGGCGGGTGTGGCACAGCGTATTGGGGTGTGCAGGTGTGGAAGACATGGAGTCGTGCGGGTGTGTGTGTGCAGGTGAGGGGTATATGTGGGGGTGTGTGGGGCATAAGTGGGGGTGAGGGTCTATGGGGGTGGGTGGGGGTTATTTTGGGGGTGTAGGTAGGGGACGTGAGCGTGATGGTCTATGGGGGTGGGTAGGGGATGTGAGCATGAGGGTCTGTTGGGGTGGGTGGGGGGTGCATGTGGGGCGGTGGGCATGAAGGTCTGTGGGGGTGGGTGGGGGTGTAAGAGGGTGCAGGGGAGTGCAGCTGAGGAATATGTGTGAAGGTGGAGGGTGTATCAGGTACTGTACGTTATTAGGTGTGTTGCAGCTGTGCCTAGGGGCCCCAGCCATGGCCCAGGACCCCATTGTGCCAGGTGCTGTATGTTATTTATTAGGTGTATTACGGTAGCTCCGAGGCACCCCAGCCATGGCCCAGGACCCCGTTGTGCCAGGCGCTGTACGTTATTTATTAGGTGTATTACGGTAGCGCCGAGGCACCTCAGTCATGGCCCAGGACCGGGGCGCCTAAACACTACCGTAATACACCTAATAAATAACATACAGCGCCTAGCACAATGGGGTCCTGGCCCAGGCCTTGGGTGCCTAGGTGCTACCATAATACACCTAATATAAAGTACAGTGCTCAGCACAATGGGGTCCTGGCCCATGACCGTTGCCAGGCTGCTACCACAATACAAACCGGGGAAGCTCATTGCCACCCAGCTTGTCTGCTTGTCACGGGACCGAGGGGGGCAGGCGTGTCCAGGAATCGGGAGCTCTGTTCCGCAGATCCCTGTGCCGGGACTGGAAGCGTCACCTGGTAGGGGTGACGTTGCCCGAGGAGCTCTGCGGGTGACGGCCGCCGTCTCTTCGTCCGCAGGGAGATGCACAAATCATAAAAGAGGTGTTCCGGGACCGGGCTGCCGAAAAGGCCTCGCTGAAAAATAAAAGTGGAGAGGTAGGTGGTGCTTTGTGCCATCCTGCGTGCCAGGCTGCCAGCCCAGCCGGTCCAGGCTATGGGTGAGCAGTCGCCAGGCCCACGTTTCTAGGAGGGAAAAAGAGAGAAATCAGGGGCATCAGCAGAGGTGTGGGGAGCGCAGGGCTGGGATGGCAGGGGACTGCGGGTGGGATTGAGGGGCACTAGAAGATCTGTGGCGGGCAGGGCTGGGATAGCAGGGGGCTGTGGGTGGGATTGAGGGGCACTAGAAGATCGGGGGGGGCAGGGGGCTGTGGGTTTGGATTGAGGGTGGGTAACTCTGATCCCACACTGAATATTGTGCAGGATCAGGGCCCGAAAGGGTCAGTTCTGTTTCCTGTTCTGCTGGGGGGCCCAGCAGTGGTGGTATGAAACCGACCATGGGGTTGGGGGAGGGGATTAAGCCAGCTCTTCCAATGCCCAGGGAAGGTCTGATTCAAGTTGAGGGCAACATTGGTGGGGTGATTTCAGTGGGCGCTGAGACGCTGCCCGGAAAACACCCCGCCCTGTACGATTTGCCCTTTTCCCTCCTCCCGAGGGCGCCATCGAGTTCATCAACCACCGGCTCTGTGAGAAGATCAACCGTCTGAACGACCTGAAGCACCAGGTGGAGGTGAGGAAGCGGCGGCTGGAGGAGCTCCAGCTGCAGTACGACTCCAAGGTGCAGGAGGCCCGGGGCTTCCAGGAGGTGGAGGAAGGCGATGTGGAGGCAGCCAAGGTGAGAGGAGGTTTCGGGGGGCGGGTGGGGGGTGGGGAGGCTCCCACCGACCCCAGCACAGCACTCACCATCTCAGCACCCAGCGCTTTAGCTGGAGGGGGAGGTTCATTTCTGGGCTGAATGTGATTTATTAGGTGTATTATGATAGTAGGACCCCATTGTGCCAGGCGCTGTACACTAATAGTAGGTGTATTACGGGATCTCTGGCCTGGCTAATGCTCAGAGTGTGGGGGCAAGGAGGGCGGGGAGGCTCTGGAACCAGCTGCTGCCCCATTGGGTGGGGGAGGCGGATCAGCCTGGGGAAGTCGCAAACCATTGGCCACTTCGTTGGCTGGGCACCGCCCATCCTGCTGACCGCTAACCTCTCACTGTGTCCTTGGGCTCCCCTTGTCTCCCTCCCCCCGATGTCTCTCGTGTGATACCAGGGAGGCAGCGTGGCCTAGTGGGTAGGCAGCTCTCCTGTCTGAGCTCTGAGCCTGGCGGCCGCAGCAAACTCGTAAACCTGTGACACAGACCAGCCACTGGAGGGAGACAGCGCCTCTCGCTGCTGTCATGGGCCCGCCCCAGTTCTCAGGGTCAGAATCTCTGGCCCTGTTTCACGGGTGGGGAAACTGAGGCACGGAGCGGCGACGTGGCTGAGCTGGGACTAGAACCCTGGTCTCCGGAATTCCAGACCAGAGCTTCCTTCCCATGAGCCTCTGGGAGGGACAAGGGAAGCTAAGCGCCCCCCCCCCCCCCACCATGCAAGCACGAGTCATTTGCTGCTGTGAGTCGGCACGGGCAGCAGGGAGGGGGCGTAAGAAGGCGCCGTTCCTGCCCCTCCTGCAGTGCTGAGAGCCGCCCACCCTGCCCCAGGTTGCCTGGTGTCTGGCGAGATCACGGCTTCTCTGTTTGCTAAATAAACGACAGATGCGGCTGTTTCCAAAACACGGGGTGGGGGGGGGTATTTGGGGATCAAACCGGCCCGGGCGCCCGGGGTTGCCCTGCAGCAGGCCCAGAGGGCGTGACAGGAGGGTGCCCTGGGCTCCGGGATGGGCACCGGCTCCCTGGCCCTCCTGCCTGCCGGGGCCGGAAGAGCCGGTGTCGTTTGCAGCACCGCTGCTCCCGGCCTGCCCCGATCCGAGGGTTCGGTTCAGTCCGCTCTGGGGACGTGGGGTCCCTCAGCCACCCGGGGAGGGCAAGGGGGGGCTCCCCACAGCCTGATCCAAAGCCGGGGAGCCCCGGGCCTGGCTCCCGCGGAGATCAGTGGCCCGCTGTGTGGGGGCGGCTCATTCAGTGCCGTTCGTCTCCCCGCCCAGACCCTGCGCCGGCTGGAGAACCAGCTGGAGAAAGCCCGGCTGAAGGTGGAGGAGGCAGAGCATGTCACCAGCCTGTACCGCCAGCTCAAAGCTCACATGCAGGTGGGGGCCGCCGGGCGTGGGCTGGACAGAGAAATCCCCCCCGCTTCATCCCACCCACCCCCTGAGCTTCTGGGGTCAGGGCCTGCCCCCCTCCCCATGCCCCGCCACCTCCAGGAGTGGTGGGATCCCGGCCGAGGTCCCCCCGGAGACCCGCAGGGTTGGGTCCAGGTGCCCTGGGGTCGGCTCCAATCCGGGCACATCCCTGGCCTCGGGAGCAAAGCGCGGGAAGGGGGGGGGAGCTGACACTGTCTCCCCCCAGGAGCAGAGCTTGACGGCCCAGACCCAGCTGGACGTGCTGGAAGCTGAGATCCTGCGGCTGCACCACGAGCTCCATGGCCTGCAAGCGATGAACACAGAGGCACAGGCCACGCGGGATGCTGCCAAGGTATGGGCAGGGGGGCACCAGGGTGCGGGCTGGGGACGGGGGGCACCAGGGTCTGGGCGGGGAGCTGCCAGGAGATGGAGTATTGGGGGGCTGTTGGGTTGGGGGAAAGGCAGGGACAGGGGCCACCAGGACAGATCAGACCCCTGGGGCATCGAGGTGGGTATTCCTCCATCCTGCAGCAGTTCAGGCCAGTGGGTCATTCTAGCCCAGTACCCAGGTCAGACCCATGGGCCTATCCCAGCCGGTACCCACCCACCCACCCGCTCCGTCCCAGCTCAGACCTGGGGGCCCGTCCCGGCCGGTACCCACCCACCCGCTCCGTCCCAGCTCAGACCCGGGGGCCCGTCCCGGCCGGCACCCACCCGCTCCGTCCCAGCTCAGACCCGGGGGCCCGTCCCGGCCGGCACCCACCCGCTCCGACCCAGCTCAGACCTGGGGCCTTGTGACCAGCAGCGTGTGCTGGACTGATCTTTGCCCCACACCCCGGCTTTTCCTCTGGGGGCTGATCCAGCGTTGTTTGCCCCCCATGCAGGAACAGCTCCAGCTCCAAGAAGACAGTGTCTACCGGGACAGGTACATGCGGGAGCTGAAACTGACGGAGCTGAAGAAGCAGGCGGAGGAGAGGAGGGCACAGAATGAGCGGGCGGAGAGACGGGTAAGGCCGGGGGGGGGCGGGTACGTGGAACCCACCCTGGACAGCAGCAGCTCCCCAGCAGGGCAACCCCAGCTCAAAACTGTTAGCCCCGCTCGCCTCCCAGAGCTGGGAGAGAACCCAGGAGTCCTGGCTCCCAGCCCCCCTGCTCTAGCCACTAGCCTCCCCTCCCCTCCCACCATAGGGCTGAAGCGGTGCCTTATGCCAGCCCCCCACCCTTGGGGCATATCTCCGCCCCCATCCCCCGGCGTGTCTGCTCAGCTGCAGGTAGTGGGGGATGGGGGGAGACGCCTTCTGCCTTGGATCCAGGGCCACCCATAGGGGTTCACGTGAGACCCATCCAGGCCTGTCCCACTAATGGCACCGCAGACAGCAATGCGGGCTTCCACTCCCTGCGGTCAGCATCCCCCCGCCCCCACGGCCGGCATGCCCCACCCCCACACAGCCAGCAGGGGGCATGGGGAGCATGGTCAGCATCCCCCACGCATGGCTGGCATGCCCCACCCCCACACGGCCGGTAGGGGGCAGGGGGAGGTGGTCAGCATCCCCCCTGCACGGCTGGCATGCCCCACCCCCACACGGCCGGTAGGGGGCGGGGGGAGGTGGTCAGCATCCCCACACACACAGCCGGTGGAGGGCAGGGTGTCAGCACCCCGGCTTATTTCACACGGACTGGCCAAGCCGCTGCAGCCCGTGGCGGGATTTGAACCCAGGCCCTGGTGAGGGAAGCGACCTGGCCCAGGCCTGCCTGCGGGTGGCGAGCACGCTGGGCGGGGGGCTCTGAGCGCCGCGTCTCTCCCCAGGCCCTGCGGGAGCGCCTGCCCCTGCAGACGGAGGAGCTGCTGAGCAATGCCCAGCGCAGCAAGGGCACCGGCCTCCGCGCCAAGCAGCTGCTGGGCACGGCGACGGAGGAGACCTTCGAGAAGATCAAAGTGGCCACCGGGGTCACCAACTCCAGGGTGAGAGGCTGAGGAGGGCTCTGCCCCCGTCAGCGCCCCCCTGGTCCCCGGCACTGCCCAGCCGGCCCAGTGGGAAACCACCGCAGGCTCTAACCACTAGGTTACGCTCCCCTCTCAGAGTCCATGCTCCCAGTTCCTTGCTCTAACCATTGGACTCCACTACCTCCCTGAGCCATGAACAGAACCCAGGAGTCCTGGCTCTAACCTCCCCCCCACCCCCCATGGCATAGGCCTTGGTCCCGAGGCTGGGGTAGTGAGGGGGGGCCCTCTGGCCAGTCCCATTACCTCTCTCCAGCCCATGCCCCCAGGAGTCGCTCATGGCCCCGGGCCCTCGTTGCCGCCGCGTGGCAGCCAAACGACCTGCCCATCATTCGACCTCCGCCAGTCACACGCCAGCTCACCCCAGCAGCGGGTGGCGGGGGCGCCCCCACTCTGAAATTGCCCCCCAACCCAGGAGGGTTTGACCTTGGGCCTGTGGCCAGCGGGGCCCCACCCCCCAGCTACCTGTCTCCGGGGAGGAGGGGCAGTGCCTGCTCCCAAGGTCCTTGGGAAGCCGGGCGGTGCCAGCGGGCCGGTCTCCTTCACGCCCGCCCCACGCCACTCACCCGGAGCCGCTGCCATGGCGACGGCGGGCTGACAGCCAAGCTCTCTTGGATATCGGCTTCCCCGGCCAGAGCCGGAGCGGGAAGAGCCGCGGGCGCCGGCCCCCTGCCGGGGACAGCGAGCAGTCGGGTGGCCATGGGTGCCAGGCCCCTGGCTGTCCCTGCCAGCTGGGCACCGAAGTGCCCTTGTCTCGTCCCACCCACTGATTCTCTTCGGTGGTTTGGAACGGTGGTGGGACCACGCAGCCCTCCCCACTCCACCCTGCTGGAGGAGAGAACCCAGGAGTCCTGGCTCCCCGCCCCCCCCCCTGCAGTAACCACTAGCCTCCAGAGCTGGGGATAGAACCCAGGAGTCCTGCCTCCCCGCCCCCTTCCACCCTCCCCAGAGGTGGCTGCATTTTGGCCGTGGCCCTGGGGGGCTCTAACACCCCCCCCCCCCCCCCCCCCGGCAGGAGGTGGTGAGACGCTTCCTGGCCCAAGGAGACACCTTCCAGCAGCTAGAGCAGCTGACGACGCAGAACGAGGAGGCCCTGGTGCGGCTGCGGGAGGAGGAGGAGACGCTGCAGGCCGAGCTGCAGGGCCTCATCTACTCCGGGGAGGCCCGGGTGACGGGGTGAGCTGCCAACTCCCCCCCCCGGCTGATGTGTAGAGGCAGGAGGCCCCCCAGAGCCCTTCAGTATGGGGGGAGGAGGGCTCTTTGGGAGTCAGTTCTCAGCTGCCAGAGGGGAGTGGGGGCTAGTGGTTAGAGCGAGGGTGGGGGTGCTGGGTGCCAGGACTCCTGGGTTCTGTCCCCAGCTCTGGGAGGGGAGTGGGGGCCAGTGGTTAGAGCGGGGGGGCTGGGAGCAAGAGCTCCCCCTGTGTTCGCCGGAGCTACGGGCAGGAGCTCTGTGTCCCTGCCCTGCCCCGCCCCGGGGTAGGCAGTGCCCACAGCCCTGATGCCCACCCTGCCCCCTGCCCAGGGCCCAGCGCCTGCTGGAGGAGCTGCGAGCTCACCTGCGCCAGGAGGAGACGCAGCGCGACGCGGCCAAGGGGCAGCTGGACAAGGTGACGCGGGTGCTGCTGGTGGCCAAGGCAGGCGTGGAGCACCTGGCCAGCAAGGTGCAGCACATCCGGCTGGTGAGCGAGCAAGAGGGCAGCGCCCCCTGCAGGCCGCCGGGGCCAGGCCGGGCTGCGGGGAGGAAGGGGCTGGCGGACACAGACCAACCCTGCACTGCCTGGTATCGCCACCAGGGGGCCCCTTGACCACTCCCTGGGCTAAACACAGGGGTGGGGGTTGGTGAGTCGCAGGCCGGCATGAACGCTGCTGGGATTGAGGGTCAGGACTCCTGGGTCCTATCCCCAGCTCTGCCACTGACCTATCGTCTGACCTTGGGCTAGTCCTTGCCCTCACTCGTGCCTCAGTTTCCCCCGTGCGGTGGGCCTTGTTGTCCCCCCAGGAGAGCGGGCGCTTTGCCGGGGCCCCGCCGGACAAGGCCGCCAGCGACTACGTGCTGGAGCTGCTGGCGGAGACGGAGGAGAAGCTGCTCAGGGTGCTGGCCGAGCTCAGCGACCAGGACCAGAGGGAGCTGCTGCGGAAAATCACCGAGGAGGAGGTGGGCTCGGGACAGGGCTCCCCTTTTCACCCCCTCCCCGACAGCCCCACCTCGCTGGAGCTGCCTACTGGCCCGTCCAGCCTCCCCCGCGCCCCCTGGCTGGGCCAGGCGCCCCCCCCCCCCCCCCCCTAACCCTGCCCCCCCCCGGCCGCACTAACGCTGCCCTCACTTGCAGTTCCACGCTAACCTGGAGGGGCGTCTGCCCAGCGCCAACGTCCGGGTGAAGCTGCCCGTCGCCCAGAAGCAGGACATGTACTACGGTGAGTGGGGGGGAGGTCCCTCCAGGTTGGAGGAGGCAAAGGTGCGCGTGGGCTGGGGGGCGAGGTGGAGAGGGGGGCTGGGGGTAGGGTTGAGGGGGTGAGGTGGAGTGGGGGGGCTGGGAGTGGGGCTGGGGGAGAGGCGGGGTGGCACCATGGGTACTGTAGGGGTGAGTGGAGCTGGCAAGGTTGGGGGCAGGGTGTGGGTGCGGGGATGGGGTGGGGGGTGAGGTGGAGGGGGGGCTGGGAGGGGGCTGTGGGGAGAGACGGGGTGACTCCGTGGGTACTGTGAGGGGAGCTGGCAAGGTTGAGGGCAGGGTGTGGGTGCGGGGATG